CGAGGAGCACGTCTGATTGAGCAGCAGCACACTAACGCACACTGACAGCCTGGCCTGCAAGGGGGCTGCCCTGTCTCCATCCACAGCCCAGACCCAGCCTAAATGCACTGCCTGTATGCCTGTATATATGTATTTGATAGAAAAGAGAGAGAAAGATAAGCAAGTGTGTGTGTTCTTACCATGGTAATCTTTGTAGAGTGGGTTGGTCTCTCTCTCAGAGCCTTTGAATGATTCCAGGGCTATGGCATTGTCACATAGCCTGGTTATACTGCCCATTAGAGCTTTGTCCTGTAGAATGAAGGAGAGAGGGAGAGCGAGAGAAACATGAGTAGGTAATTAAAAGCCTCCTGACGGGCCATCAGTGTTGCAATTAAATTAGGTCAACATTTCCTGTAGCCAGGTCATTCCTGCCCATGGCGTAGGTGAGAGTGCTGTGGTATAGAGGTGAAAGAGCACTGACAGAAGTTAGACCAGTGATGCCAAGACAGACAAATGGACATACACTTTACATCAGTCGTTCTTCTACAAAAGAGGCATGGGATATGTCAGCGAGCAACACAGTGAAATTATTTTATTTCATCTAACAACAGTTTTTACAAAAAGGTTCACCATTGGTGCACAGTCTCACAGCCACACACAGCAGGGGAGGCCAGAGGAGAAGTGGGAGAAAGCACAGGCGGCCTGATGAGGAGAGCACCCCCTACTGGTTAACTCAGCGACTTGACAATAAAGAGGACAAATCAGGGGTGAATACAGTAGGTAAAAAAATGAAGGAGAAATATACAAAAGGGTGGAGGCAGAGGGTTAAAGGGAGTGGAGGAGAGGGAGACACTGGGATGTAGGGATACAGCGTATCTTGCATTATTAATCTCTTTGCCTCTTGAATCATTCACATCCTTCTCTCAGTGCTGGCTGCCTCCGCCTAATGCAGTTTTCATGCCTTCATGTCTTTTCCCCCACTCTTTCTTCTTCCTTTTCATTTTTGTCCTACTTTTAAAGTATGCGTATCCCACCAGTCAGTACAACACCACTTAGAGGGTATCTCAGGTCAGTCACACGTAGCATATGAAGTAAGTGTTTGGATACAAATTATTCCATTAATGATATAGTATTGCCAATAGTGTCTGTGAGTGAAATGGCCAACTACAACTTTCTGTGCAAGCCTGGCTAGTACTTACATACTTACTTACAGTAAATACAAAGAAGGCTCTTTGAGAAAGAGTCAAAAGTCACAATAATCCTAAGTGTCCAAAAAGAGAGGTTCAGTACTGTCGAAGTAGGGCAGAGTGATGTCAGTAAGATATACTCCTCACTTCCTTGAGATTAAAGAGGTGATTAAAAACAGTTATCTCAACTGTATTTCTTTTTTAAATGTATTTATAATTGATAACGGGCTCAAACAAAAATAATTTCAGTTTTTCAGTGAAAGTCTGTGATGGCCCAGTCAGCTCAGATTCCATCAGTGTAAATCCCCTGAACACTCTGAGCCTCAGCTGACGACCACTACCTGACAGGTCCAAGGGAGGACAGCGTTCACCTCACCCTGCAGTATCTTACCCAAACCAGGTCATTCATGAGGTGACCGGGCTTGCCAGGTTATTGATGAACTCAGTTTTGATCACAGTTGCTTGGCTCAGTGGGGTTTGTTTGGCTTATTCTTTGCTTTTTTTTGTCAGTGTGTGTCACTGTGTATGCATGTGGTCAAAGGTTAGAGACAGACAGAGCACTCTACAAGTAAACAATCTACCCAATGTGACCTAACATTTAATACATTGTTTGGAGGGGACAGGTATAAATTTCCTGTTGCCCTATTGTCTTTGGATAGTAGAGCATACACATAAGAAAATAAATGCACATCCCTTCAAAGGCTAAAAATGGAAGCAAGTGTTTTTCCAGGAAATACCATTTCACCTGGGAACACAGAGACACAGGTTCACCATCAAATACATGAAAAGGAGAGGATTATAAGTGGTTTCAAAGGTAACAAACTACAATTAATGTGTATGTCCTGTAGATGGTATGTGTACATAAAGTGATAGGATACAATCAGGTTTAAGGCACAATTGTCTTACAAATACAACATGTGAAAGAGACATACCTTAATCAGTCACAAGAAATTACTATAAATGAAAGTTTTACCTCTACTAAAAAAAAAACAGCAGTTCAAGATTAAAATTTTAATTTGAATGAATAAAAGTTCTATTGATCATTTTGAAGAAACCACCTCTTGTTTCCCCACCACGACAGGCTGAAAAATACTGTCCAAACACAGTCAAAATATTTGCATAGGTCAGGACACTACTTAGTCTGAGCAGCAGGCGAGGTGTAAATGGATGCATTTTAGGGAAGACCGTGTACTTCGTGTTTGAGTGCATGTTTACTTGTGACGGTGGGTGTGGTAGCAGGAGATACTATGATGGAGGACTAGGCTATGACAAGCCTAATTAATGTTTCAGATGGACTGTGGCACTGGGCTGTGTGAGGAGGCTTTCAGTGAGTTGCTCAGCTTCCCAAGATGCTCAATTATGGATAGAGAGTCCAGCGTGGTCTCGGCCAGCTAGCCCACTGCTACTAATCTAGACAGTCTTCCAAAGGCCGCACTCCGTGTACCTGCTGTAAGCACAGGCACTGGCAGAAAGCAGCTCTGGCTAACATGTCAGTTCTTCCTAACACTGCTGACATTAACTTCAAGTGAGCAGCTTTCACATGTTGGCAACCTCAGTTAATCAATTAGAACATTTTCTTATGACATCAAGTGAAATTCACAGTGTTGAAGTAATCATTTCACAGATGCCCATTTTAACAGCCTCTCATTGCTGCCATGTTGGCTTAGTCATCCAACACCTGATTCAGTCCAAAATTTCCCCCTCTCCTCTTCTTCCCCCACTTATTCACTTCTCTCCCCGGGGTGGATAAGGGGGAGGGGGGCAGAATAAGGGTTAGGAGGCCAGGACAGAGAGGGACAGGGGGACCGCTCCCACCACAGCTGACATCTGCTAGTTAGTCACTTTACTTTTTTTGACTAGGCCAAGGCCACTGTGCACTAAGCATATAGGCCTGGAGCCAGAGCAGTGACAACACAGCTGTTCTGAAAGTTAAGCGTCGGCCTATATCTTCGTACAAAAGGATCACAAATAACGCAGCTTCCATGCACTTCCATAAGGACTATGAGGAAGCAGGGTGTCTGAAGTGTGAGATAGATAAACCGTTTTGGTAGGAAGTCTCAGATGGCTTTTCTGGTGAGCCTGCCTCTGTGGTCGAGTGTCTCTGGGAGGGCTGTGGTTTGCCATATGCCTCAGCAGATGACTCCACCTTCAAACTGAGAGGCCAGACTGGACACAGACACATGCACACAGACTTCTAGCCCACCCCCAACACAAATACACACACATACATCGCCAGAGACACACATGACTACAAGAAGGGCTATTTGTAGGAGAATAAAATGTATACAGAGGCACACACTCTGAGTATGTACAGCTTCAAGTAATTAAAGCCAAAAAACACATAGATTAAAGGCCTCTGAATGACCTATGCACTTGAATGACTCTGTTGAGAGAGTGTTGCATGGAGGAAGAGGCACCTCATGGGCTTGAGTCATACCAGGGTGACACTGGGTGAAGAGGAGGTCCCACTATAGAAGCCTTCAAGCTTTGTGCCCCATTAATGAATGAGACAAAGCAAGTACATGAGCCAGACAAGTGTCCATTATCAATAATATTATGTTAGTTCAAATTTAGCACTTTATTAATTCCTGAGGGGAATTTAAGGGTGGCATGTAGAAAACAGAGGGTCAAAGAAGAAGTCACAAACAAGAGGACAGAATTCTCTTGAGCTGTGATCTGTAACTTGTGCACTGTTTTGCAGTACCACACACCTATGAAACTACTCACCAAAATACTCTCCACTGTGTATCATTTATATCAGGCCAGCTAGTAGTCACTAATTAAATATGTTGTGGATGCTGATGCTCACAAACTGGGTCAAGTTGTTCTCAAGTGTCAAACGCTGTCCTACCTGGATGAGATGTGATGGCACAGTAACCACTGCAACCGACAGTGATGACCTCAGCAAAGCGCGCAGGCCGTAGAGAAAGGTAGTGAGTGCGTGTCGGTGTCTAGGGTTGTCATGGCAACTCAGGTCATCACTCCAAAGAGCTGAGCCAAGAGAGTGAAGCCCAATGCGCAAGATGTTCCGTGACTTTGACTATGAAACACAACAGGCAAAGAAGAAGGGGTCAGGAAGTCATACACATATGTTAGATTGTAATGAAGCACACAAACAGTACAGTTTAATACAGTATGATTAAATTCATGGTCACAGAGTGCTTATGAAGTTTAACAAACTACTTCTGAATTATTTCAGAAAGGTGATGCTGTCTTGAGTAGTATTTCCAAACTGTGGGAGAGAACGACTGGACAGTCTGCTCACCAGCACAGACGATCACAACACAATGCCCAAACGTGACTGGACACAACTGCCCAATCACAGAGGCCATCTGACACACGCACAATGGACCTGTCAGACAGGCTTCCAATATGGCCGCCACCCAGAAACCCCAGCACATTCTTGGCACCATAGCGATGTTCTGCAGCCAAGGGGGCCTGGGTAAGGGTGGAGTGCCTTCCCTTGAAACCCTCCCACTCCACTGCAAGAAATCAAGGGTAACCCACTCTCATGAAGACAGAAAAAGTGGCCAAACAGTGGTCAGATATATATCACTGAAACTGAAAATGGAGGAGCCTGTCCAAACTGTGAGAGGTTTTTAACCTTTAGTACAATTGCCTTTTATTTGGGGTGCCTTCAGGATGTCTCCCGATTACTGAGGTGAGAGCCAAGAGTGATTAACAAAGCTCTGGCCTAAAATCTGCTCACTTTTCCTTTTCTCCCCCAACCTCTCCTCTCCTTTATCCCTCCCTCTCTTTTATCTCGACCCTCCTGAAATCTCCTCTGCCCCAGTCCCCAGCACTTCCTCTCCAAACACTAAGCTTCGTTTGGATCTGGATAAGACTCACAGGGATCTAAGAAAAATAAACCCCATTGTTTCTGGGAGTTTTTCATAGTTGACTCATGGTTTCCCAAGGGAGAATTCTCACTAACAGTCATCCTTCTCTACGCCATTCAACACCACTGCTGCATCGCTATACCGTACCACATTTAAATATTATTGCTCTATGTGTGCCTCTCTCAGTTTCAGATATGCAATTTCTTTGTTTAGTAAGTATCGCATACAAAGGTCTTAGGGGCACACAATTAGAAATCTATTTCTGTGTGTGTAGCCCAGCAGGGAGAAACTGTCAAAACATGACTGTTGCTGGGGCAACATCAGGAGAAGAAGCCAAACTTAACTCATATACTTTACCCCTATAGAAAAATCAGGGAACTGTGCCAGTAGAGTCCAGCCAAGGACCAGAGGCCAACCATATAGACAACAGCCAGCCTGGGACCACAAACTAATCACCAGCCAGTTTCTGCTGCGACCTCCACCCCACTCATCTTAAAAGAATATATGAAATCTGCATCTCGTTAATGATCCATGATGGCAGTTCAACAAATAAATACACACAGTGACTATCACCCATACTGGGCATTCTTGTGTCTACAATGCCAGTGTCCCTGTGTGCTGGTCTGCATTCCTGGACTGTGCCAACAGTATGTCAGGCGGCCACACAGCTTTAATGATGTCAGCAGTTAATCTGGTGTGTGAGTGACAGCACTTGGGGAGGGAGGGAGGGTAAGGGGAACTGGAGGTAAATCCTGTGTGTGAGAGACCAGGGAGGGGCAGCTCCAGGTGACGAGCTGAGGGGTCACCAAATATAGGTGAATAAGGTGCAACCATACACACACTTAGATTGATGATTATTAAAAATATATGAAAGGTAGGACACACAGGTGAAGCTAACCCAAGCAGCTGAACAAGAGCTCCTGTTCAACTACTCTGTCTGTCTGTACCACAAATGCAAAAACTCAGCCTCAGAGAATGATTGCTGTCTGCTGAAAGGATCTGTTGGTGCTACACATTTCAAGAAGGTTGTAGTTGCAGAACATATGTAGCAAAAGTGTCTGGATTCAGGCTGACAGAAACAAATGCAAACAATAATTCTGTTCTGGTTCTTACCATAGGTGCTGCTACATCAAAGCCCTCCCTGTGTATGACCTCTTGAAGTGACTTCAACAATGTAGAGTAGGACTCCAGCATGGGACTGGAGAGAGGACAGGACAGAAAAAAAGAGTAGACACAGTGGAGGAAACAGCCAGAGAGAGAAAACAAAAAAGTTACTTCAGACATATAAACTCTAACTGAAGCCATTTTGATAAATCTGGGATCAGCTGATCATCACAGTAGCTTAATCATCTATGACTGCAGCATGTTTCTCCTGACTGTGCTTTTCTGGAGCCACTGAAGCAGACAGATGATCCATATCAAGAGATCCAATTAATTTATGTGGTTGATTAAATTACAACTTCACTGGTTCTCTGTCAGCTCCCTGAGGATCTGATTGTGCCGAGACAGACAGACAGATGAGACGTGCATATGCACAAACATACACACAACAAAGATGATAAGCGGGATGGGGGGTGGGGATTAATGGGCTGATATTGAAAACTAACAGGGAACAGCATTTTGGTGTTTAATCAGGGGTGAGATGTGCACCACTGACAAAGAACATACAGTTCTATCGGAGCAACATTTAGCAACAGTCAAGGGATGAATTACTGCTGAGCCAATAGGAATGTTAACCCCATCGTTTTAAACAGGACCCTCCACTTAAGAACGCCCCACCATTGTAATGACCACTCTGTAGCGAGTCACAGTGGGCTGCTGTGTCACTTGTCAATTCGACCTGCAGGCTACAAAAGCTGATGTATATATAGATTGGTCACACGCCAATAACCCTGCATAAAGAACAGCAATACACACTCGTGTTGATTACACTTGGGCCAAGTATATCCATGTACTCTATTTCAGTTATTCAGCCCAACAATGGTGCCTCCTGACCCCGCTGTGGCTAATGATAGAGCTGGATTGGTGAAAAAGGGACACCTACCCTCCTTGGCCTCTCTGCCCATGCCCCTGCTCTGAGGTAGGGGGCTGGGATGGTTTGACATGCAGTTGAGCAGGAGGTTGCCTCTGGTTGGCAGCCATTGTGTAGGACGGCATTGTGTTTTAGCTACCCCTACTGAGCACCCCTCATTCAGGTACCCAAAAGGTCTAGGTGCTTAGCTACAGGGGCTAGTACGTCGGTTAATTAGGATCATACACAGGGAAGCTTCTTTATCTCAGTGTTCCTCTTTCAGTGAGAGAAGAAAGGAGGAGAGAAGGGGGATGCTTGGTCTTAAACAACAGGATCTGTATCACCTAGAGAGCAATTTGTGCCAATTATGCCTTCAAGTGAAACGGAGCAATTTAACAGCTAGGGTATCAACATGGGGCTGTGGACACGTGCAAGGGGGAGTAGCCTGCTTAGGAGTTTGTGTGGTACATGTGCGTGTGCAATGTGCTGAGTGTGTATGTGCACATGTATGTATGTGTCTCAGCACTGGGGTGGGGCTGGGGGCACAATGGTGCAGTGCAGGTGTAGTTTCCTGCTGTCAAAATGTCTGTTAGATCTATACCCCATTCAGACGACCACAATGACAACTGTATCACCATGGTACTCTTACTGACAAAATTGTCGCACAACGCTGTTAGCATCAAGGCAGAAGATATTTTAATATTTTATTTGTTCCTTATTAATAAGCATGACTATGTTCTGAGGTGATATTTAGCACAACAGTGATGTCCACTTCATGGTCCATACTTGTGAATGAATATCCACAACATTTAATGTGTTTGCATGGGTGCTCTGTTTAACAGTCTCTGTTTGCTGAAATAAAGGAAAAGGGATTGTATAAAGCCTCCTGCACATCCTCTGTGCTCCAGATTGCTGTATTTACCCAGCGTGTGTGAGTGTGCCTTCGTGTGCCCTTGTGTGTTCAGCACCACTCTCTGAGTAAAGAGCCTGCATGACCTCTGAACCCTAAGTACACTCAACGCAGGAGAAATCAAACAGACGCTGAGCAAACAAGACCCTTATTTGAATAGACATACACAACCTTTCCAAGAGGCTGAAGGACTTCAACCAATGGCAAACTCTTCAGAATACAGGATGAACCAGGCTGATTATTTAAAGGGTAATTTGAAATTGACTTAAAATACTGAGCTATTCAGTATTTCATTTTTTTTAATGCTGTTTTATTGAAACTGGATATTTCAAGTAAAGTAAATATGCTTTCATGTGGGCATGCAAACAGTAAAATGAACATAATATTCTTATTTTTAAAAAATAATCTAGTGATTGTTTCTGTAAGCTAGAGGAAATAAATGCACACAGTTTTTCAGAGTTGAAATAATTCATGTCCAGCTATTTGGGAAAAAACAAAAACCTGTTTTTATCAAAGTAAATTCAATATCTTTGGCTTTCAGACCAATATATTAACTTGGGCTCGGTAGGTAGAGCCTCGCAGTTTATTTAATTCTTATAAATGGGTATCTTAAACAATCTAGAGTTTCTTCCTCTAATGCACATGCTGGTTTCACGGCTTATACAGTAAGTAATCTCAAATTATATTGCTCTGTCTGCACTGTTGTTTTTACCTGTATTCTGTGAACAATGCCATATTTGTGTGCCTATGTTCAGTGGATGATGTCATAATTGTGTAACTGTTTTGCGGATGATGTTGTGTTTGTATGCCTGTTCTGCGGATAATGTCTCATTGGTTTCCATGCATTCTGTGGATGATGTCTTATCATTTTACCTGTGTGTGGGTGATGACTGGGTAGGATGGTCTGGAAGGTAGAAGCAGTGGCACTTGGCCGCCTGGAGGATTTCCGGCTCCATTGTCTTGGAGACATCGTAGTAGTGACCAAACCGGGACGAGGATGCCAGGGCACTCTGAGGAGGTCAACAAATCAAACTCAGGTTAAAGCATATTAACACTGAAGACTTTTAATTAAAGATCATTGAAATTTGTTTGCAATCATCCCAGGTTGACACTGATACCACTGGCTTTAAATGTCTTACAACCAATGGTGTGCATTTGAGAATAAAGCAATTCATAAAGAAAAATAATCTTATTTGTCTTTCTAATATGTTAACTGAGTGTGCTTCACAGTACTAAGGTAAAGCAATTGCATTGTTTATGGGTCATTCCTCAATGTTCCTGCAGCAGCCAAGTTAAATAACCACTATGACAGTGATTATTTAACTTCTCCTAATCATTTCTTCACATAAATGTCCACTTCTGGCTGTGAAAGCAAACGTGTCGGGGACGCAGAGGAAGGCGGATGTTTTCCTGCAGCTGAAAGAGAGAATTTTAGCTCTTCTCTCTCAGTGAAACCAGGGATTCCATTGTTAAAGGGGCCCTTAATCTACTCCTAATCTGGATTAGGGCCCCCGGTGTGTCCCTCTCCCGGCAGGACGAGTGGGTCAGCAGGGCAGGGGGGTCAGGGGCTCATCTTCTCTTTGTGAGCTAGGCAACCTGCTTAGCGTTCCATCCCCGCCCTGACGGCCTCACCTTTGATCTGATGTCTTCATTGGGCGAGTGACACAGTAGGCTATGCCAGGAGAGGTGTGTGTAAGGGGAAAGTAAGCGTTGACTCTGGGGGTGAATTTGGGATGCAAATCCTCTGGCAGGGCTTACTAGTGGTTTGTAAAGACGATTTTACAGAGGAAGGGGGAGAGGTGAGGAAAGGACACACATATAAAGAAGTTTCTAGGGAGAGAGAAAGAGGGAGAGGATCCCCAGGGACACACTGTGTGCTGTTAATCCACATAGCGATATGGATTATAGACCGAAGGGGGGAAGACTGCAGAAAAGTAGATGGGGAGGGTCACCTCTCCTCAAAGCAGAAGAAAGAGCATAGGGCTGCCGACCCTAGCAGGGGGAAAGGCAGGGATTTGAGGGGAAGACAGAGGCGCAGGCCTGGGTCACAGGGTTGAGCGAGCAGACATGTCAATGCACAGGCTGTAGAGTACTCTTGTTTCCCAGGCTAAGCAGGGGTGCAGGCGTGTGTGTATGTGTGGGGACCAGTGAAAAGCCTACCTATAGCCAGCTAAGTGTGAGTAATCTGGTCCAGCTCTGAAAGGAGAGGCTGAGGCCTCATTCACTCAACAAAAGAGTTTAAAGGCTGACGGATTTTGTGGTGGAGACAACTGTCAAACCACTAAGATCAGAGAGTCAGTAAAAGACACATGTAGGACTTTTAATGAAAGTAGCATGATCACAATGTTGCCTATATTCTACTGTATATTCCAATTAAAATAAGATCCACTTATTATAATTAACAGATAACATAAATTTTCACGTGGTCACCTGTACTTTTGGAAGATTCTGATAGCGCCAGGCAATCTTCATGGAATCCAAACTGTCTGTGGGGTCGCAAGACAGCCTGGGCTGCTCCACTGGTTTATGGACAGCAACATCATCCAGGATGGGAGCTGGGAGTTCCTGTACAAAAACATTTAATAAACATAATATATTGAATTATGTTGACTGGTCAACAAAGGCCATTTAATTTTTCCTGCTGTTGTGTAATTTCAGAGAGGCATAACAGCAGAGTGCAACTTGACGTAGTACTGCAAGTCAGTGCAGCCTTGTCTCTCCCATTATGTGCACTTCACTGTAAGCTTTGTGATTTCCTACTACATATAAATGTCAATAAGCATGATTTTTTTCTCAATTGCGGTGAAGCGATTAAGAAAACGCCAGATAAAAGCAGGGAGATTGCTCATAGCAAATCATAATTCCTGGTCATGTATGAATTTAACAGGGTTTCTAATTGTGTTTTTCCAAGAATACATGTGCATAAGAAGGACTTTAAAGTACTGCTGTAGTAGCAGCTTGGCAGGATGAGTTATGAGTCTTTTAGCAAAAAACCGCCGTAAGAGAACCTGCTTTTTCACTGTCCATCCAGTAGAGAATTCCCATTGGTTTCCGACAAAACATCTGATTAGACTTGGTTCAAAATCATGGCAGTGGTGGTTGGGAAATCTGAGTGACTGGCTGATGCAAGTAAACGTGGGTTTTTAAGTAACCAAATCACTGCAGTGCATGTGAATGGATTTTCCAGTTTCCTGCCTTAACCTGATTTCGTCGAGTAAGCTGGTTTCTTGTGTGCATGTTAAAACAACCTTAGCATCTGAAGACCAGCATACTGTGAATTTAGCTGTGAAAACACAAAATTATGTGATATATCCCCACTGGGAGTTCCCCTCTCTTAATAAGCCTTTGATATGTAAAGAGAGGGTGAGGCTGTGACCCCTCCCACTATCAATCAGTGTGAGAGAGGCCCTCCTCCTGTATGCTGGGTGGCAGTCAGCTTCTGGGGCTATGGTCCTCTTCACAGAGTGATGCATCGGGAAACATTTCAACAATGCCAAAACCATGCCACCCTCGACCTCACAGATACCCCCACTGACCCCGACACATCTTGGAGAAATCTGTAAGCCTGTAATACCTGCTAAATCACTGCCTGACCAGCGCGTAGCATGATGAATATTGTACAGTGGGAACTGGGCAACAAAACACACTTGATAGTTATCACAAAAAAAAAAAAATCACAATAACAATGATAAACTGATAAACAATTTTTGATAAATGAACCTGTTTTGCATTTGGGTCAATCCCCATCTGGACAATCACCCTATTAGAGCACAGTAATAGGCTTCCATCATTGACACGTGCAATAGTCAAAATGTGTAGTATAACATGTTGATCTATTGTGCGATTTTTATTTAAAAGAACTGTTTTTTGCCTTCTTCAGGCATAAGTTTTATGGTAACTGCAGAGAGTAAAAGAAAAGACTGTTAAGAACTGCAAACCTTGTACTCACAAAACACAGTGTACATATCCTTGAGGCCAAACGTTGAATGCATTGTCTTCCTTCAATCAATATAAGAAAAATATTGTGATAACAATTTGTTATATTTCAAAGCCTTATGTTAAAAGGAGGCAGAATATGTCCAATGTTTTCTGATGACAAAAAGATAAACAAAAGTTTTTCAAAACTGTCTTTACAGTACAGCAGTTCTACAGGGACAATGTTAAAGCAGACAGATTGAGGCCATCTTAGCTTCTTTATAAATGGTTTGTCAAGACTTGTAGCTTAGAAATAAAAACAATATCATACTTTGCAGTACATCACATTTCCTTCCTAAGAGCATACCTTTAAGATGTCATGTGGGTTATGTTGAGCTGCAGCCACAAAAAGCTCATGGTGACACACCACTCCTTCTGCTAGGAAGTATTTTAAGATCATATGAGAGTAGCTATCATATCGGTCCTCCTCTAAAAAAAAGACATAAAAGACAAGAACAATTAAATTTGAGTGCAAGAAGAAAAGTCAAATAAACATAAGACACTGTCATTCAGATAGCTTTGACACATTTCCCATGAAAAAATGGATCAACCTCAAGTCTATCATTAGATGTCTCATTCTGACACCACAGGTCCAGCAGTTCACAACCACATCATTGTTGCTGACTGTAATTGATATAAGGACCATATTCTAGGTACCTTTTGTAGGTAGGGCACAGACAAATGTGTTACTGTGCGATCTGACTATCAGAGTGGAGATGACATCTTCATCTCTCTTGTTAGGGTCGTAACAGCACTCCTGTCCTCTTCCACCTATTGCATCCCCAACCAGCAGCAGAGGTGAGAGGGAGACACCTGTCTTAAGCATTCAACTGACCCCTCCCACATTAAGCAAAGGCAACCCAGCTGTCAGGAATACTGACAGAAGTAGGATGCAATGGTGCCTGTCCTGAAAAATGCTTCCTGACATCTGGTTCACTTGAATTTCTCAGCTTTCCGTGAAAATTCTAAAGGCAATGGCATCCCTTCATTATTACATCAAATCAGGAGTATTTATTATCAGAAAAGTAGGTTAAATGGCATACACAAGTTATATGAAAGTCTTTAAACTAGGGCTGTCAAAGTTAACGTGATAATAACGAGTTAACACAAATTCCTTTTAATGCCACTACTTTTTTAGATGCAAACACATTCTGTGATTATGACCCTCGGCCCGCCCCGTAGTTTGGGAAATCAGGAAGTGAGGCATCAGCAGAAATTAGTAGAAATGGATCAATAAAGGGTCTTTTGGATGGCAAGTTCAGCTTCAAAGCCCTGCCAGATGGTTCTCTCAACAAGATTAAAGTTATTTGCATTTACTGTCGATGTGAACTGAGTTACACCTGAGTATGTCGAGCCTCACATGCAACTTGTTGGCCAAGCACACAGCTGAGGCAGAGAGCCGTCCTCCCCCTCGCCAAAAACAGAGCACGCTGGATAGTTTGCAACAGAGATGCCTGGACAACTCTACAAGCAACAAACTTTCAACAGCAATAGCTAAATGGGTGGCTACAGCTTGCAGACCGACTGACATTGTGGAGGACGAGGGTCTGCTTGAAATAACTCCCACTGTATCTACAGCCACCGCTGTAACCAAGATACACAACTTGTATGAAGACAAGAAAGCTAAAGTGGAGGCAGCGCTGGGACAGACAAACACAGTCGCGCTCATGGAGACTACTGGACTTCTCTCGGTATACACAGTTACATCAGGGCCCCTTTAAGATACATAGAATAGATAACTCAGGAATTGAAACTTGTAACTAATTCTAACCATCAAACATGCTTTCCTAAAGGTTGCCTTTTTCACAAAGTGGCCACCTGGCTATTCCACACACCAAACCCACACACCCACACACACAAAAAAACCCTGCATCATCACCATGAAGCCCCCCCGAGCAGGAACACATAACTACCCAGCATGCCATTGCTGCTTCCTGTCACAATCACCATTTTGTAAAGATTTCATAGGCCCCTCCACACAATTACAAACAGTAGGCACAAGGACAAAGGCAGCAGTGACAGTTTAAGGTAATGGGCATACAGCTGACAGCTTGGGAATGACATCCTGATGTGTCATCCTCCAACATCCAGAGAATTCCCCCTCCCATGTTTCCAGTCTCTGTCCTCACCTACGGACTTAGGATGGCTCAGGACATTCCATGGCTCTTCAATTTGTTGTCGGTGGGGCTCCCTGTTCTCTTATTGATGGGTTTCTAGGTCAGCAGGCCTTTGTGGCTTTCAGCAGGCCCCACAAAGACTCCCAGATGGGCCCTCTCAAGATGGGGCCTATTGTGGCAGTGTTTCTATGGGAGCCTTACAAATGGAACCTCCAGGAGTCATTAGGCTGTTGAGGCGGGGGGTAAGGGGAAGGGGTGGGATGTGGCAGGGTAAAGGAGCAACAGGGGGTGGGGGACAGTCATATCTTTGAGGTAGATCAGTCATTCTGGGCAGTCATGGGATGATTTTTTTTTCATTTTTCATTTTTATGCTTCTTCTGACTAAGACTTGGTAAAGCGAGGAAACGTCCCTGCTTTATTTACTTTCACACAGGGAAGTGGGAGTTCTGAATCATATCTGCTAAAGCTGCAGGGGGAGGAGACTAAATATCTAGGTCAGAGCATTTCCCCCCATGTATGAGTCTTTTCTCTATGAATTATTATTATTTCTAGTGAGCCACTCAATCACTTTATGGCAGGTAAATAATCGCTTAAAAAAATTATGAATTTTGAAATAAATACTGCTACAAAGATGGTTTTAATAGATTAACTGCTACTTGGCAGCAATTGTCACGTGTCTATATACTGTATGTGTCTATCATATCTCTTTTGGAAAGGCTTTAAATTGTCTGTGCTTGTTGATCAAGGCATTTCAGGCATATGGCGTTACAATGTTTGAGAAAATTCACCTGGACACATCAAGAATGGCAGTAGTGTGATTTGTTTTTACCAATGTACTGTACCTGTCATTTGAGAACAAATGTCTCAGCCCCTTCCACAGTACTAGTACTACTGAGAGGTTCTGAGTAAAGTATGAATCACTTTTGTTTCTCTTTAAATTGAGATCAGTATATTCTCTCATTATTATTATTGTGTTTGTTGTTTTTATGCAGATGGAACTAACAATGTGATGATTACTGAAATGGGGCTATCACATTAACTTGGCACAACATGAAGGGCAAACTTCAGTTTTTTAAACAATTCACTTCCAACAGTCAATAATGACAGAGGTACATCAGATATACCTAACCTACAGTGCATATTTATATATATTATATATGAAACAACCTCACATTTTTGAAGCTGTGTTTTGTCCTCTGTGTTTGTTGTAAAATTTCTGTTAATTTCATCAACAAAACACCATATTCATCACATTGTAACTCCAGTTCGGCAGAGAAATATTTAGTTTGCTGGTGTAACATTTCTGCTGAACTACTTACCCTTGTCATACTACAAACCTTCTTCACTGCCGTTAAAACTGTGCTCAAAACCCATGAGTTTTTTTTCCCCCAAAGTGCACTTCAATGCTGTGAAACATTTAAACATGTAAAATATTCAGGTCAATTTTCATAATTATTGTGGACGCACTGAAAGAAAATACATTTGCTAGCTAATGGAATGAAACCATACATGGGAAGCTTTGTTCCTTCTTTTACAAAAACACATGAGATGAGAGATCTTCAGACAGCAGCCATACTGGGCTGATACAACCCCCCCCACC